GATGCGTTAGGCCGTCGTGCTGTAGGGCCTGTCGGGACCGCGGTGTGTTGGGGTGTTGTGCTGTAGGGGCTGTAGGGACCATGGTGTGTTGGGGTGTTGTGCTGTAGGGGCTGTAGGGACCGCGGTGTGTTGGGGTGTTGTGCTACAGGGGCTGTAGGGACCGCGGTGCATTGGGGTGTTGTGCTACAGGGGCTGTAAGGACCGCGGTGCGCCGGGGTGATGCACCGAGGCACGCACACCGCAACAGCCCTTAGCAACAAGGATGCTACCTGGCAACGCGGTCTCAGCCGTCCTGCCGTGCCACGGGGAGGGGGAGGCAGCGATCCCCCCCCCTCGGCTAAATCAATTTTTTCTTATGATTATTTTCTCCAGACAAAACACATCCTGGGGAGGGGGGGTGTGAGCCAACGGCCTTTTGTCATCTGGTGCGACAGCTCGACGGCTTTTAAAGTCCAGCCCAAATGTTGGCTCTGGCTGGGGGGGTGTTTGGGTGGGGAGAGCGGAGAGGGATGGATGGAGACCAGGCAGGGTGAGACCCCGCTGGCACGGAGCAGGGGAAGGAGCAGAGAGGAGAGGGCTGCCAGGAGGGCAAAGCCAGGCTGAGGTGCAGCCCTGGCAGCATGGGTCGCATCCTGGCCACATGCTGCCTGCCCCATCCCTGCGCTTCCCTGTGGCCAAGGATCGGTCCTGGGTCGGGAGCTGGGGGACAGCACCGCAAACCCAGAGCAAGACAGCCGGAGGTGGGGGACCACAAACCGTTTCCCCCCGTTTCCCGGGGCTGTACAAGGGCGGGGAGCCCCCAAAACCAGCTGCTACGCCCCAAAGACCTGCACGCCGTGAACGTGGGGGAGAGGAGACCGGGTCTCTCCATCGCCTCCTGCTCACTGCAGCTTCCTTACCCGCTGCAAAGCCCCCCATGGCCCCGTGGATGGTGCTGGTGGATGGTGCTGGTGGATGCGCTGGCCCAGGTTCGGTCCAGCCCCGCTTCCCTTTTTTGATGTAAGACTTTAAGCATCTATGCTGCCAGCGTACTTTGTGCTAGAACAACAACAACAAAACTAAGCAGTCAATTTTCCAGCAATTAGCTACAGCGAGAACATTTCAAGTCCTAGAAAACCCCGCCCCGCAGGATTAATTAAATCTTCCAATTAATGTCTAATTTAAATGATGATGATGGCTGTTATAATTTCATATTGATTTTTCTTTTTGGTCTTAAAATAGAGCTGTTGTCCCTTCCATGCCGCCTTTTCCACACCCCAGGAGCTGTTTGTTCTCTCCGTTTGATTTGCCAACGTTAAACATGTGTCTGGAAAATCAAGCCTTGTATTTTGGGGTATTGACAGGCAGCGTTCGCTCCGCTGCCGGGCGGGTACCTGCGGCAAGGGGACCCGGCTGTGTGTTTGGAGATGTTTGTGCAGAAAGCCCATGTCTGTAGCCTGAACTTTTACGCAGTGGATATACACTTGGCCGTGTGAAATTGGACTCCTGGCATATTAAATTTTTACTGCTATAAACCCAAACCCATTACTTTCCCCTGGCTCAGGCAGCCATAAACCTTGCCGCTGCTTTGCTTCCAGAATAAGCTGGGCATTTATGTTTCCCGGGAGCTGGTTCATTGGCGTAATGGATGTGTAACCTCCTGTAATTGCTAAGGTTATTCCAGTGCTCGCATGCGAGCCCTGGCTCTGTCACTAGCTAGCTAGCGCTGGTTTTATTTCGAGTAGGTTGCTGGTGGGGGAACTCAAATGCGCCTGGAACAGCACCGGGAGGCTTTGAAATAGAGTGCTGCGAGCCTGAAGCAGAAAACGTGAGCGAACAATTGCAGGAGACAAGGGGACAGTAAATGGTTGTACATGCTCAGAGCAGGAGATGGAGGAGGCCTCGAGCTGGCACCGCGTCTGGACCACGTCGGTGTGCTGACTCAGCCGGGGAACCAGGACTGAGCATCCCTGGACGCGGCTCAGCCTCACCTGAGCCTCTCCATCCCGGCGCCGGGCTCCGGAGGAAACGTGGGAGCAGCACACCGCTGCATCCAGGGGAGCAGACTGGGGCTGGGGTACCCAGCGCAGCTCTTCTCTGATCTCTCCCCTCTCCCCTTCCAGACGAGGAGCTCCCGGCACTCCCAGGGCTCCCAGCCCGGCTTGGCTGATCAAGCCAAACTTTCCTTCGCCTCGGCCGAATCCCTGGAAACCATGTCGGAAGCGGAGCTGCCCCTGGGGTTCAACAGGATGAACCGGTTCCGGCAGAGCTTGCCCTTGTCCCGGTCCACCAGCCAGACGAAGCTGCGATCGCCAGGTACCCTCGGGGCTCAGCATCCCCTGGGACCGGCAGCACGTACCTGCCTGGCTGGTAACCAGAGATATACCAAATATCTCTGCCCACCTCTGCGGGCAGATGCCGGCAAGTGCCGGGTGTGGGATTGGTTTGTATCTGCCCAAATAACCCCAGGAGGAGCGGGGAGGCACTGCACGCTGTGTGGGGTGGTCGAGGGGGATGAGCTGCCTTTGGCCTTGCTGCTCCAGGGTGAGGTTGGGTGGCACAGAGACCTCCTGTGCCCACCTGCGTGGTGGGCAAACCTGCCTCGGCACGTCTTCGGCGTTGCGTGGGGAAGGGCTGCGGGCACACCTCACCGCTTTCTGCTCCCTCTGCTTCCAGGGGTCCTTTTCCTGCAGTTTGGGGATGAGACGAGGCGCGTCCACATCACCCACGAGATCAGCAGCATGGACACCCTGCATGCCCTCATTGTCCACATGTTCCCCCAGAAGCTCACCATGGGGATGCTGAAGTCTCCCAATACTGCCATCCTCATCAAAGACGAGTCGCGCAATGTCTTCTACGAGCTGGAGGATGTCCGGTGAGGGTGGGGGGCTCAGAAATCCACCACAGATTGATTTTCCTTTCTTTAAGGGCATCACGAGCAAGGAAATTAGTGGGATGAAAGCAGAAGGGTGGGTGTGGGTGCAGTCCTGCGGCTGGGACTTGCTGGGGACTTGGCGGCTGCCTATCCAGGATGCTCACGGCTCTGCCTCTCCTTTCAGCGACATCCAGGACAGAAGTATCATTAAAATCTACCGGAAAGAGCCGCTCTATGCTTCGTTCCCAGCCTCACACATCACCAACGGTGACCTGAGGGTAAGGGGGGACGGGGTGTCACAGGGAGAGCCTGTGGTGTGGGTGCACCCACCTGGGACCAGTAAAGAGAGAAAGCGATGGAGACAGGGACTGGTAATTGCATGTGTTTGTGGAAGGAGTAATGACTGCGATTCATCTTGCCCGGTTCCAGCGTTGTTAAGTGTTACTTTAAGAGAATGGATGTTTGGGGCCTGACAGCAGGGTAATAAACATGATAATTAGGGGATTCATCAGAATAAATCATCCCGCTCCTGGATGGGAATGAGGGAGCTGCCATTTGCCAAGGCCAGGTGAAGACGCAGGAGCTGCAGATCTTGGTCCTTGGAGGGGTGCAGCAAGGCAGGGATCCAGGCAGGCAGAGCAAGGGCAGGGGGCGTCAGCCCGCAGGGATGCGGTGCTGACCCCCCCCTGGGGTGCAGCAAGGCAGGGATCCAGGCAGGCAGAGCAAGGGCGGGGGGCGTCAGCCCGCGGGCAGCGGCGCTCCCCCCCCCCTGCCCCTTTCCGCAGAGGGAGATGGTGTACACCTCCAGAGAGTCATCTCCCACCCGCCGGCTGAACAACATGTCCCCGGCTTCCCACCTCACCTCCGGCTCCCCTCCGCCGGTGCTCCAGTCCTCCTCCCCGTCCCGCTCCCGCATGTCCTACAGCGGGGGCCGCCCGCCCTCCTACGCCGGCAGCCCCGTCCATCACAGCGAGCGTCTCTCCAACCTGCCGCCTGCCCAGGGCGTCTCGCCCAGCCCCAGCGCCATCCTGGAGCGCCGGGACGTGAAGCCTGACGAGGACCTGGCCGGGAAGAACGTGGTGCTGGTGAAGAATGAGGGGCTGTATGCCGATCCCTATGGCATGGTGCACGAGGGCCGGCTCAGCATCACCTCCACCCAGTCCCTGGCCGGCATGGGAGACCCTTTCGGCTACTCGGGGGGGCTGGACAAACGGGGGCCCCGTCCGCC